ACAATAAAGGGATCAGGAAATATTTTTTTTAAAAAGCTTACAGATAAAAATTTTAGAAGTTTATTGCAGTGAATAGCTTTGGAAATGTAGAAACTGATTTATGCTCGATGCTGCTTTACCTCCTCGACGCTGGATGGTGGGCAGCTGTAAATATCAATGACTATTATGTTTTGTGGATTTTTAAATGGTTTTTATCATGGATTTTTTTTTCTGCTTCCATCCATCTAATCAGTTTTCTTGTTCCTTTTAAACCAAAGCTTCCCCACCGCATGATGCTGCCTATATCTTGTTTTACCAGAAGGAAGATTAGTTAGCCTCAATATGCTGTTAGTTTTCCATCATTTAAAACGTTTTTTTTTTTCTCCGACCAAAACATTATCTTACAAATTATGTTCCTGAACCTTCCTTTAACTTTCTTTGAGTCATGGTGTTTTTATTATGTACAATCAAAGTTTACTATTAACCCCTTGAAGCCTGAAGTGATATACATATATATAGAAAAATACATTTAGTGCGTGTCTTTCCCCTTAAATGAGATGCCAAATTAAAGTAGTTGATGTTACTAAATAAATAGAAATGAAGGTAAAATATATTTTTAACAGCAGTTAAAACTACATAATAACTTACGCTGTGACTAGCAATGGGACGATGCAAAAATGCTATGGTGCTGTTTGCCTACACTGTAAAAATGCTCTGATGATAAGGTCTTAAAATAAGTGTAATTAGCCTTAATATGGGTAAAATAAGTCAACATTTCTTAAAATAAGCGATTTTACCTTTATTTGAGCAAGTAAATAAGATGTGCCAATGGAATGAGTATTTTTACTCTTAATATAAGATAATTAGATATTGTGCACTTGAAATAAGAGACTGCAGTTGTTTCTTTTTCTTATTTTAAATGTACATTGTCTTGTTCCAATGGCAAAGTGTCTCACTTACCTGCTCAATTCAAGAAAAAATGTTCTTATTTTAAGAAAAATGTACTTACTTAAATTCACATTGTTTGCAGTGTAATACAAGCGGTTATCAAGGGGTTAAAGCTGTTGTGTACACTGCAAAAACGATCTAGAAATAAGTAAAAATGTCTTAAATTAAGTGTAATTACCCTTAATTTAAGGAGGTAAATGAGATGATTTGCCAATGGAATGAGTATTTTTACTCTTAAAATAAGATAAGTAGATAATATGCACTTGAAATAAGACAATGCAGTTGTGTGTTTTTTATTTTAAGTGTAAATTGTCTTGTTCCATTGGCAAAATGTCTCTTTTACCTCCTCAATACAAGAAAATTTCACTTATTTTAAGAAAAAAATTACTTATCTAGATTTCGGTTTTTTGCAGTGTAGTGTAAAGTGGCGAGCTATGTATTCCAAAAGAGCCAAAAAGTTTTTCTATGCTTAACTCTTGATCATTAATAAAAAACTCAGCTGATTCCTAGATCATCCAATCGATGTAGGTTTACGTCACACCCGTGACAAACAACACAATGTTAGACAGTTTTCACATCCTCCAAACAATCCCTTCTGTCTCCATACCTTGTTTTACTCTACAGATTTCTGCAATTCTATTCAGTTTATTTCTATAGCGCCAATTCACAACTCACGTCATCTAAAGGCACTTTACAGTTCACCAGATCATACAATTCAATTGATTCAAAGTTTTCTATCTAAGGAAAACCAGTTGATTGCATCGACTCATTGACTCTTTAGCAATCCCTCACACTAAGCAAGTTTGTAGCGACAGTGGAGAGGAAAAACTCCCTTTTAAAGGAACAGACCTCCAGCAGAACCAGACTGCTGAGGCCGACTGGGGTTCAAGTAGACAGAAGCAGACATAGAAAAAGAAGCAGAGATACAAAAGGCAACTGTAAACCCCGTCCAGGAAACACACAGCCAGGCAGATGAGCTCCCATGTCAGAGGATGAAGAGAGCACATCCAGTTAGTCACAGTCAGAGAAACAGGACTACACTGAAAAACAGGCAGATCTCCAACATCTAACACTTAAAAACAAAAAAGGTAGCTCACCTCCCCCCTTTTCTATCCATCCAATCCTGACCAGTCAAACAACAGGCTGCATGAAATAAAGCTCGGTGGAGATGATGTGTTGAGAAAAAAACGTCGAGAATCACCGAGGCAGATCTGCAAAAAAATAAAAAATAGGATGTTGTTGATGCAGAATGTAACAACCTTCAGTTTCCTGCCTCAGAAAGTATTTCAGGCAGTTTTAATTTGTATTTATTACATTTTTTAAACCAAAAGAGAACATTGCAGAGAGGTAAATAACAGTTTTCCCGTCAGCAGATTCTGCCTCCAGATCAGCAGCTCATCTTAACTCTGACCTCTTGGCTGGATTCTTGGTGTGCCTTTGACCTTTCAGATGTTGGACTGAACCCTGACCTGTGGGATGTTAAAATGTTTGTTTAGCTTTTATTTTAAACATAAATCATCTTATTCTACTGGCAAGTTGTATTATTTCTCTGTTTAAATCAAAGTAAAATACACTAATTTCCATTTTTGGGTGGGCTTTAAACTCCTCTTCGCGTTCCGTGATCCTTGATCTTTGCGATGCTGTTTGTTCACTAATGTTCTCCAACAAACCTCTGAGGCCTTCAGAGAACAGCTGCTTTTATACTGGAAAAAAAGTACTGGTGAGTTCTAAAGCCAGTTGGTTGCACTGGGTTTTATTCAGCAGAATCACAGTGAACAGGATGTTTGCACAAGCGCATCAAACTTTTCAGATTGTTATTTGAAAGGTTTTAAAATCAAGAAGGTATTTTCCTATATTTTGTTGTTTTGTTACATAAAACCCCATCAATATAAGTACTTTAAAATAAAACAACTTAGGATTTATTTATTTATCTTTTTTTTCTTCTTTTTAACACATCAGTAACCTTTAGATGTTGACTCAAAGTGCCCCCCCGGCGTGATGCATGCTGAGAGAATCACACCTCCTCACCAGTTCTTTTAGTCTCACCTCTCGTACAATGAATGTTAACAAATTCCTGTTAAATCCTGTCTGGAGCAGCCGAGGACCTCGCAGCAGTCCCCCCCCCTCACTCCTGATATGGGATCAGGTACGGTCCAGTAAATAAACAGGTTTTACTTCTTAAAAACAAATTATGTACCTTTTTTATTCGTAAAATGATCATTATCCAACGGAAAATGGATCTCAAACATTTTTCTGATGGACTTTTAAAAGAAACAGGATGATTAACAAACACTGACAGAGTTGGGGGGGGGG